TGCTGACAGTAAATGTGCAACGACTGTCAAAGTCGATAACTGTTGCATTCAGCAGATTTGATTAGTGATCCAAAGAACAAACAGCTCAAACAAAACAAATGTTCAACGTTCAGATGACGATGGATTTTTAGACGACATCTTTGATTCCTGTCGTCTATCTGTTTCGTTTTTCTTTTTTCTTTCTTTTTGCATTCTTGGTGTTTTTTTTGGGGGGGGTCAACAAGTTTTCAGCGTTCATTTTAAGTGAGAAGTGTTTTTCTTTTTTTTTTGGAAACTTGTAGAAGTGGTAGAAGCAGTCGATGAAAGGACAACAATGATTCCATCAACGGTGCTTAGTTGGTGTTTTTTTTTCACTTTTTTTTTCCGTTTTTTTTCTTTCTTTTTTTTTTTTTTGGCCACAGTTGACTCTGTTTTCAGTTAATCCGTTAACAATAAGTGTTTGGGTGCTGAGATGGAGACAAAAAAAATAAACTATTTTCATCACATTAATACAATCCTCTTCAGTGTGTGACAGACAAACAACAATTAGTGAAGCCTTAAACTGTTTAGGAAAAGGTCGTTGTTTTTTTTTTTTTCTTTTTTTTTATTCACTTTTATACCACCACTGTTCATCTGGTTCAGGTAATTTGCAAAACAGAATAAACTTTTAACTTTTATTCTGTTCAATTTTTTTTTTTGCTTTATTTGATTTCATTTCATCTAAAATCACCTTAAAATTATTATAAAAGAAAACAACAACAACAACAACAATTTTTTGTAAAATAGTCATGAACAGAAAAATTTAAGAACAAATTGGATAACCAAATTGAATGACACCGGTCGAAAGATACGATTAACAGTGTTAGCATTTGTTGCTCCAATTAAATCTACAATCATATATTTATCGCCACACTTAATTTACAAAAATGAAAGCCGTCAAACACTGTTTAAACATCTTCCAGTAGAATAGAATCCCTTACATTAGTCTACAGCTTTACTATTGCAAAGCTTAAGATGCGATTTAGCGCTCAGTAGGCTGCTCAACCAAATATTAACAAAAGAAAAAAAAAAATTGTTCAAAATGTGTATGTGGTTTATTTTGACCATTCAAAAAAACAACATTTATATGGACTAAAATTGGTAAAATGCTATTTTAAGGTAGCTTGGAAATTATAACGAAGAAAAAAAAAGGGACAAATTGTCGTTGTTGGTAGTGCTGCTGCTGTTGTTTTCCGTTGCTGATCAACCGTTTTTTTTTTTTTTTACGGATAACAACCGATCAATGAGAAATACCAAAATATATATGTGTAAAAAACAAAAAAAAAAAAGTTCTGTATCCTACAAAATTTTTATGCTTAAGAATTTTTATGCCCGGTTATTAGGCATTTATGTCAATGAGCCGATACGTAATAACATTATTGTAGTTGCAATGTTCTTTTTTTTCTTTTCTTTTTTGCTGTCAAAAACTCCCTTCTCTTTATTTTTCCTTCATTTCACTCCTAATAGTCAAAAAAAAAAAAGGAAGAAAAATAAATTTTTTTTAACAACTAAAGATAACTTATCACCAGAAGAGAATAGAATGACTTAATTGGGAAGAATATAGAATTAAGATTTTTTTTTTTCTTTTGCTTTGCAAAGAAGCAATTCTACCGTAATGGTAGCAAAAGTTGTTTAATGCTCTTTTACTTACAATAAAACTGTTCATCAGCCGACTGAAAAGCGGATTATACACTTTCCGGATGACTGAAATTGATTCAGCGACACTAATGTCAGTGTAATATATGACACCAATTCGGTAAGCAACAATATCAACAAAACATTTATTTAAAAATCCAACAATTACTGTAAGCCAATAAAACGACAAAAAAAATCGCAATCTTCTTCAATCTTTCTTCTTTTTTTTTTTTTTTTTCATACTTTTCAGCCATCCCAACACTTTGAGTATAAAGTTTAGTTTACCATCTGTTTTTTTTTTTTTCTGGGTATGTGTTGGCTGCGGAAAAATTCCCAAATGCAATTAAATTTGTCTGATAGCTCCAACATTTAGCTGAATTGATTGTCTCATTCATCTACACTCCTTACTTTGTTCTATCTTACCTGATATCATTACAGTAACAATGCAGAATTGTGTTTCAAATATATGTTCATAACGCTCTGAGTGAGTTTCATGCACTGGCCTCAAAAACCGATAAGGTTAGCAGGAAAAAACGCCTGGAAAACTAGTTCTTATAAATGTTAATACTTAACACTCGCCATGTTGTTGTTTAATCTTTCATAAAATCAACAAACTAACAAAAGTAGTTATTTGCTGATAACGTCAAATACATGATTTCAGGTGTCAAATAAACTTTTGAACCTTCCTTAAGCAGGTAACAGAATACAGTTAGCCATCAGGAAAACAGTTGACAACAGCTCAGAAATTTTTTCTTCCGGCTGTAATAAGGTTAATTATCCGCAACAAAAATGTTTATAAGGCAGTAAAAAAGGAAAGAAACAAATCAGTTTGCTATCAAACCTTACAAGCAAAATGCCTATAAGACTGTTACAAAGAAACCTCAACTATTTGGCTTATCTAAACAAGCTGATGCGCAGTGTGTTTTAGCGATATGAGCAGAACAAAAACCATCAATGCCAACATCAATAATGCGTTAATCAAAAGTTATTAGAATTGGCAGCATATAAAAACCTAATCTGTACAGTAGAACATGTATCATCAATATCATATAATTAGAAATAATGCAACGGTAATGTATAAAGAATAAGTTCTTCAACAATGGCTTTCCATTTTGAAATCCCATACAAACACACATTTCAGTGAAAACTTCTGAAAGCTTATATACTATTCCACTTAGCTTAACCATTTTTAATCCGAATAAACTTGAGCAAAAAAAAATAATAATAAAAAATAAAAAAATAAAAAAAAAAACAACAGATTGTCAACGGTGTTACTATAATATACTGATAATACCAATCATAACAAATGAAACATCATATTGGAAAAAAACAATATGTTATTAGAATATAAAAAGCATTTATAAATTCATTCCGTTGAATAAGTTCATATGAAAAAAAAATAAATTTGTGGCCCACAAAGGTACGACAAACAATCCATCATCTGGAATTCTTGACTGAATGTCCCCTTCAAACAAGCCGGCCATAACTGTGCCGCTAAGCAGTTTAAATTAAAAACCTTTGTGAGCGACAGTAGCTATTATCTATAGTTTAAAGTTCATACTAGACATGAAAACAAAGGAAGTAGCAGAAACAGCATTATAGAAAATGAGAAATACAACAAGTTAAACACTCGCTGGCGCAATATTTACAAAAAAAAAAGAGAAGTAACAGTAGAAAAAAAGCAGGGAATGGCAAAATCTGGTAATGAACAGTTTACAAACCAAAACAAAATAACGATCTTGAAGAAAGATTGCGCAAATAACTTCAGCTAAATTTTTTAAAGAAAACTAACCGGAAGTTTTTATAGAACAGTTACCACGTGTTTTCAACAGTTTTTGATATCAAAATGAGATTACTTATCGCAACTGTTGTGGAAATTAATCTTCGTATTTATTTCTTCTGATACTTTACCTATACGGTCGTTCAAACCATCAATCTTTTTCACATAATCATCAATTCTGACATCAGCAGCAAGAACTGAGTCATTTAACTCTAAAAAAAAATCAAGTAAAAGGAGTAAAACAATAAAAACACATCAATAACCAACGAAAAGAAAACGTATTTCAACCGGCAAACAGTAAACAACAAATTTCACTGTAAAACCAGGATTTCACCTTTTATCAGTTTCTGCTGCTTCTGCACCATATCTAGCAACCTTGTAGCCCGTTTCTTCAATTCTTCAGCCCTTGCTTGTTTCTTTTCATTGCCTTTCTGTTTTTCAGATAATAATTCTCGAGCAGTTTCTAACTGTTCCTACAAAAGTGTAAAACGTTTAATAGCATCCTAACAGTACCTACAAAGAACCTCTTAATTCTTCTACAAGAAACTTTATTACATTATTGTCCTCAACAGCCTTTTCAGACGATTCGGCTTTTTCCATCACCTCCACAGCGTCCTCGTTTGCTCGACCAGCCTCTTTAGAAACCTCCAAGTATTTCAACCTGATTTTTTGCATCTGATTTTCTAAATTCACCCAAGATTTATTAGTCTTCTGAATTAGTTCTTCTGCTGCTTTCGCTTCGTTCTTTACAGTATCCATATTATTCCTTAAATAGAAAGAATATAAATGAGATTTTATATTTTAATAAAACTTTAAACTCTTAAACCATGGTAATAACAACAAATAATAACCCTACCGTAAACATACATTGTTTTCAACAAAAACTTTCAAAGCTGTAAAACAGTAACTTCAAAAACTTGAAAATTTTCTAAATAAAATTCCAACACATATTCCACCCTCACCATATATGTAAAACAGAATACTTTCGATATTTGAAATAGGCATTACTTGGCTTGATTAATTTGTTCTTCGGCGTCGTCTATCGCACTTTGTGCAGATTTCTGTTTGGACTCCGCTTTTCCCAACGCCTCACTCACAACTTTGGTCTCA